TTTAATTTCTTTAAAAAACGAGTGTATCTGATCGGTGAAAATAACCATAAAAGGCCTTCAATTAGTAAGACAAGACCAAAAATATAGAAAATAAAAGGAGCAAATGAGAACGTTATTGCAAATTCTCAGTAAATAAGTCATAGATATTTAAGATGGTTTCTAGGCACAAAACTTTACTTCTTTATTACTTTTCTTTCTTAAGGTTCTATTGACTGAGAAAAATATAATGCTTATAAGCAAGGGGCTTCTATCCTTAGCTCAGCTCTTCTCCAAGAACATTTTCTAAGAATGTATCATTGATACACTAAGAAGTCTAAAAGTTTTCTTTCCGTTTTAAGGTAAATGGTCTGTACTTATATAGCGCTTTTTCAAGTCAGGAGACTCGACCAAAGCGCTTTACACTACGTTCAGTTATTCACCCATTCACGCACACACTCACACACTGATGGTGGCAAGCTACATTATAGCCACAGCTGCCCTGGGGCTCACTGACAGAAGTGGGGCTGCCGTACACTGGCGCCACCAGGCCCTCTGACCACTATCAGTAGACAATGCAGGTGAAGTGTCTTGCCCAAGGACACAACAACACTGAAAGTCGGAGCTGGGGCTTGAACCATCAATCCTTCGATCTCAGGGTAAATTCCTACATCCGATGCCACTGTCGTTTAGGATTTCATGTAAAAACATTAGCAAAAATCAAAAGACATGAATGTTTTTAGAGTCACTTACCCAGCTTACCCATAGCTTACCCAGTCTGTGTGCTTGGCTGAGCATATTTTAGTCTGGATAAGTAAAGGACAAATTAATTGTAGCACTTTATTTTAAAACGCATAAGACACTGTTAAAGTTACACGTGAAAGACATCCATTTTCAATCCCAGTGATTTTAAATGTATCTCTTTATTAGGCATACAAGCCTTAGTTCTTAAAGGATGGAATTTAACAACAGAATGAACGATAAGTAATTAATGTGCCATAAATGCTGGATATCTCAACATTAATGACACTTTAGGTAAAACTGTGCAACATTAGGTCAGTGGTGATTGTAGATTAATAGGGAAATCTTTATATTCAGCACAGAAGTGTGAGAAAATGTCTCATCTTTATGTTGTTTTGTTTGCTTAACTAGTGCACTGAAAACAAAAGTGAAAATCCATCGTGTAAGTTTAAAATCCATAGTGTAATCCACTGTATAAGTTGTGCTCCCAGTATTAGAATAATGTAATATTTATCAAATGGTTTTTCAGATCAACATAAAGCGCTTAGCACCTAATAATGTGCCTTGTGTGCTGTCCTTCTCAACAACACACCTATGAAACTTGAGATAGTCAGAACTATGGTGTTAAATTACTGCTGAAAATCAAACAAACGTATTAAGCAATCACAATAGTGAAATTATTAATCACAACCATGCATTTAATAACCAAAAGAGGGCATAGCAATGATTTTTCCATATCAAAATAAGTCAGCAGTTATATTTGAAGCAGTCAAATAAAGTTAATCGTGTTAACCAGCTAGTTGTGCTGTAACTGTAACTAGCTAATTTTTTAGAATGCTAGGTGTTAATCCAGTTTACTTTGATTCTGTTGTTTATTTTGGTTATAAAAAAATCTCAGCTCACCTTCATCAATGATCGCTTTATTTAAAAATCAAATGAACAAACCAACCAATACTGCGAAAATTATTAATGAGGTATAACATGGAAAGAATTGAAGTTTTACCTCTCAAAAGAATAAAGATCTTCAGAGCAAATGTTTTAACTTGCTGTGGAGTCTAAAAGCTTCTACAAGTTTTAAATCTAGTTTCTACACTATTTTAAACTACTAGAAATTGTGCTTAGCTTAATACTGACTACAAAAATGAAATGGGTAGATTAGTCTGAGTTATAGATGCTTTGACAGACAACACATTTAATAGAGCAGTATAAATAATAATGTTAACATTAAAGAGAATGTGATTATGAAGATGAGTATTCATTTAATAGTTTTAGTTTAATTAACCATACTGACCTCAATTAACTCATGAAGAATGTTTTATGCAAACGATCACCAAAATATATGTCTTTTTTGTATTCACCATCATTATGTTAAAGCACTTTTGTTCAAATAAAAGTGCTTTAACATTATAACCTTTACCAAGTAACTAATAATTACACAACTTTTCATTTGCATGTCTTTTATTATTTATTCAGTATTTGTAATCATGCAATAAAATTATTATGGATCCCTAAGCTAGGAAAGAGAAAAATAGATTAAGAATAATCAACAGAAATTGATCAGCATAGAAATAAAGCTGTAATACAGGAAATGAAAACTACGACAAGTAACACTGCTGTCTTTACATCCATGTCCATTTCAAGCTTTCAGGAGTGATGAGCTGAGAAATAAGCAGGTTGGTCGCTGATGGAGTAAACTAGGTCAACCTGCTGGTTAAAGCTAACCATGCTGTTCTTTTATCAGTGTCCTTAGATAAGCCACAAATGCTGATCTTTTAGCCAGACTTATTGGTGCATCCAAACACAGCATTGCTTCCAAGCAACACATAATGGCCTAATTATAAGACACAAACCAAAATCAAGATTTATCCGTGACATATTTTATAATGTGCAATTTCATCCCAGTCAAAGATTTAAAACAAAGTAAATGCATAGTCGGCGAAGTTATCAGAGCACATTAATGTCAATAAATCCTCAGAAGCCTCTCCAAAAAAACTGAAATTTCTGTAATATTTGGAGCTACTGAGAGCGAAAAAAATCAAATCCGTCAGGTATATTAGCATTAACAACATAATCTTATGGTTTTAATCTGGAAAACCTACATTTGAAGGAATTTTTGATTAAGAATTCATCCTAAAAAGTTTATTTTTCAGACACAAGAAATTATTTACACACAAAAGCATAGACTTTTTTTTATTTTATTTTACCCTTTTATTCAACCCATAAAATAACTCTGATTGTCAAAACTTTTGCAAGGCAAATCTAAGAAAGATACCAAAAGCACAGTTTGCAGAAAAAACAAACCTCCACACAATCACACGTACACACAGTGTAAACATTAATCAGCATTTATACTTCATTTAGATCAGTCACACATAAACTGAGGTCTTGAAAATAACTAATTGTCCCTCCTTCACCATATTAGTTTTCAACACAGCAAATCCCTGAAAAAAAATTAGAACATTTAAAAAAGTTAAAACAACATATATCTTAAAACCTGAACGCATCAGTTTGTCCTATATATTCCACAGGCAGATCTGCACTTCAACAATTTCTACTCCAAGTTTGACCTGTGATCATGAACGGTGTTCTGTCTTTTTTCCAGATCTGGCCATTGCACCTTCTTTAAATATCACTGACATCAGCCACAGAAAGAAAACTAATTCATCCCTGATGTTTTTACCACATTAAAAGTAATGTTTCACAGATAAAAGCTGATCTTCAACCATTTTACAACAGCAATAATAAAATAATATTGTCATACATACACGTACAAACAGTAGCATCAGACATATTCGAGAAAACCATAAGGTTCTCTTTCAGCCCTTTTCAACAAGGTTCAAGGACTGTAGAGTGTCATGTAGTGTGCGTAATGATAATCTGAAGTACCCATGACAAACAGCACTGTCCAGACTTATGGCTGCCCTGGAAATGATGTGTACAATCCTTCATTGATGGTATACCTCTGTGATAAAATAAATAGTAATCAGGCCATTTTTTTTAGAATGCAGTTTACACTTCACTTAATAAACATTTTTAAAAATAGTTTTAAATGTAATTAATTCATACAAAACAATACAGAATTGTATAGGAGAACATTCACTTTGCTGTCACGTAGAAGTTGCACGGATTGTTGACTTGTATTTAGACATGTATTAAGATAAGGTATTACTACAGTATAAAAATAACAATTTACTTTAAATATAATTCTAATTGCCCTATTTTTAAATAAAAAATGCCCAATTAGCAATCACATCTCTCCAGCAATTTCTAGTGCAGACCCTAAGAGAAGAAGGCACTAAGTCTTTGTCTGCACTGTGTATTAAAAACAAAGCAAAAGAAACACAACTACCCTCAATTCAAAACAAACACAAACACATCTTCAAGTGCATTCCTTTAAAATAGCAGCAAGCAAACCCTACACCTTCAATCAATACATCTTTATGCCCTTACAGTAACAGAATTAATATACATCTGAAAAAGCTATGATATATTAAGAAAGTTCAATATTTTTTGTAACTCACTGCAAAAAAGTTAAACTGGGCTGATCACACATATAATGAAGTAATTCTAGTTTTTCTTTTTCTTTTATTTAACTAAATATTGATTTGAAAAAAAAAGAAAGTAAATATAAAAAGTGTTTACAGTAAATAAAAGCAAATAAAAACGTTTGTCTAATGGTCTTATTTTGTATACACAACCATAAGGAGGACTGTTGACCAGAAAACAGTCATAAGGAAGGTAAGCCACAAACGTTCGATGCTGAAGAAGCTAATTCCCCAAACAGAATTGTACCCATGCACTTTAAAGGGGTCATAGAATGCAAAACCGAGTATACATTGTCATAGATGAATAATGATTGTTCAGTGGTTGAAATGGATGTACATAGAAGTTCCAACCCCATTGACACATCCTTTCTCTGCAAATCTCACAATTCTAAACTTCCTCCATAAAACGGGCAAATCCAAACAAAGTCCCGAGTTGATGTCAAATCGGGGATGTTACCTTATTTGGTTCTGGCCTGTACTTTTGTCACAACCTGAAATTGACAAACAGACCAGCCCACTAGTTCACTGGCCCAAGTAGATTAAAGAGGTGGATGTAAGACACCAGACTGAGGGCTGCTGGGCCGCTGACAGGCCCCAACAGGGGGCGGAGCCACCGAACCCGACCTGTTGATGGTATGCTTCCTGCATTTATTTAGGTATGAAAAGTAGGACATGTCCAGAGAGGACATCTGGTCACCCTACCATATCAACAATTTCGATGTTTCAGTGAATGAGTGCTTGTTGCTATGATGCATCTTTGCTCAGCAGCTTCGCTCATTGTAAGCCAATCAATCAGCGCACAGCTAATCTAAATATTCATAAGCATTCCATAAAAGGAAGGAAACCTGTCATTTCATTCTAGGGCTTTTAAGCAGGCTTGCATTAAGGCTAATAGAACAGCAAATATGCCATTTTCAGCCCAACCAATGTTACACACCCTATTCAGAGACCTTAAAGACCAGCAACAAATACGCTATAGAATCTTTCTATAACCCCTTTAAATTCTTAGATACGGCAGGCCTTAAAATTTCAGTGTAAATAAAACAATTACCATAGATTGACATAGATTACCATAGCCTTAAGAAGGTAGTCTGGGAATATAATGCTAATAAAATTATATAAAATAAAAACTTCAATTTCTTAAAGGAGTGACTAAAAATATTGAACTTTTCATGATATTCATTTTTTTAATCTGCCTGTATATAAATCTACCCTCACCAGTGTTCCCATGTAAACACACCCCTACAGTCACACTTCAAAAGTGGCCTATTCTCTATTTATTCCTAAATCTTATAAAATAGGGTATCTTAATTTGAGCTAGGATATGCTCAGGATAGAACAAAATGTCTGCTGGGTTGTATGCTTCAATGCAGTTGAAGGTGTTTAGTTTGAACTCTTTCATGATCATTGCAGATTATTAAGGCTACCATCCGTTTTAAATAACAGGGGTTCTGAACATCATATAGATTGGTTAACTCTAACTTAAAATAACAGATTATGACTGCCGCTTAAACCAACTAACTATGTATGCAGTAGATAGTTATTGTGGTCATATAACTAGACTTTACTTTTTAAAAATAAAATACCAGATTTTAACCAGGTTTTAATATCAAATAAATATAACAATAGGTTCACTGATGGCACATTTTGGCATATGGTCAAAAAGCAGAGGCGTAGTAGATGGAAGTTAAAACATCATTGTCCGCCATTCGGCCGCACTTCTGCATAGTTTTTTACCAACTGGGAAATCCTGACAACTTTAATATCACCCGGTACTTTGTCATAGTCTGACCACAGGTATTCTGGAGACAGCACCTTGGTTGGTTTGTTGTATAACAGATATCTGTTTGAAAAAAAGGACAGGTAAATGTGCATAGTCTGTTATACTTTGAAGCTGATATAAGAGAATGTTTTTGTTTAGTTAAATAAAATTTTCTCTAATATGGTGTAATGCTGTACCTGTTGAGATGACTCTCCTCCTGCCAGACAGCTTCAATCTTGTTTTTGGCGTCCTCCTCTGACATCTCATAGCAGTACCTAATGAAACATCAGATGGAAATCAAAATCCAAATGCTACAGTAAAAGTTTAACATGCTGGGCCTCACATAAAAATAGCTATTAATTTTAAAGACATAGACTAAAAATGTCAAACATACTTAAACCAGGCAAACTTTAACAGAAACCACTTGTGAGTATCAGTAGTATGGATACAGGCACCTCAGGACTCCTCAGCATATTGTGCGCAGTTCTGGGGACAGTTCCAAGAATTTTCCCTTTGATATCAAATATCGGGCCAGAGGATTCACACAGTCTATATTTATGTGCTTTCTTTGTGGTGAACCATTTATAATGTTTAAATATATCCAGCCATATTCTACATTATAATAATATTGAAAAGTTGAAAAGCTATATTTTTGTGAGATACAAATAAAGAAGTGGAGGGGAAAAAAATTCTGTTTAAAATACTTATACCTTCAAATAATAATAATAATTGTCTTCCATAATGTTCCACTATAACAAACAACACCCAGTTTCATAGAAAATTATTTTACTATCAAATCAGGAGTAACATTTTTTTTTTCTGGGAATCAACGTTGCTCCACATTGTGATCTATTTCACACGCTCTGAGCATCTACTTTCTCTTATTTCAGCTGTATTGACTGAATGTGGTGCCCAGATGCAGAGGGTGATGCTGGGAGCAAATAACCATCCTAAGTCAAGGAAAAAAATTATTGAAAAAACTATTGAAAAATACCTAAAAAAATACCCAGCATTTTATAGACATTGTTTTGCTTTCCTTTTTGTTAGTTCCAAAACATACATCAGGTTACATCAATAAACTACAGGACAGCGAGTTGCAAAGCTTTCATGCCTTTGATCTTTTTTAATGTTTTTACAATTAAATCCTCATTTTGATTTCCTCCAAATAAATCACATAATCCAAGACAACCTGATATATAACTGTGGTTTGGTAGGTAAAGCAAACAGCTTCACCTAAATTCTAAAAGCCATTCAGCAAACAAGCTTTTAAAAAATGCAAACCAGTTTAGAGTAAATACTTTCTCGTCTTCAGCTCATTTTTGCTCATTTTTTTTCCTCATTTCTGATGAGAGCTTGCTGCACTTTTTTGGTAATTGGGGATACAGGGCTGTAACAAATAATTTTATCTTAAGTTTTATGTCTTTGTCTCAACACCTCTGCAAAAAGAGTTTGGATAAACTTGATTTTAAAGGCAAATGTCATTTGCAATTATCTTACTTGACAAGCTTGTACATATCCTCCAGGTATCCACCCCAGACAGCTGCCGTGTAGTAGTAGTCTCCTTCCCCAGCAGATATGTAGGCTTTGGATAGTGGCCGACGCTCGTAAGGAAAGCTGTCCCTTGGTGTGTTCTTTGTAAGCAAAACAGATTCAGATTTTGATGAAAACAATGACAGACTTTGAAATTTACATGAAATGAACTGAACTTATTGGTGACAAAAGATTACACACATTACGGATACAAGGAGAATAAACGTCTATGAGTTACAGTACTTTTCTTAGAGCCAATCTTATGTGAGAAAAAAGGTAAAACCTTGTAGTAGCCACGATGAAGTACAGCTGAAAGACGACTGAGAGACTCCGCTCCGAATCGGTTGTGGAAGACGCTGTCTATGTCCATCATAAACAGGTAATCTGCCTCTTTATTTATCTGAAATTAAGGTCGACATAAGGTTAAATAACAGTGATACAAATTAATCTCATACACAATATAGATATAAAAGAAACATTTAAGTTTCTTTTTAGCAACAGGATCTGGTTATCCTGATTAGGTTTGGAATGACGCAAGACAAGGATGTGTGACTGGATGAGGGATTAGAAACCTTACATCTACATCATATGTATGACGTATTTGGTTTATTGGATATTATTTTGCTTTGAGCAAACTCCACAGGAGCTCATTTAAAAGCCCGTCAAAAACTTCAGGTGGACCAAAGTTCACATCAGTCCATTCATGGTTTTGGAAGAATGCTTATTACTGTCAAAATGTGAGTCTTTGATAAAATCAACATGATAAAGTCCTACAAGCAGCAAAAACATTTTGCTTACATGGATATTACATTTTTCATGCAAATGAAGAGCTGTTTTCCATTTGCATGGAAATTAGCTCAAGCTGTTTTGGTCTTATGTGGTCTTATTAAATTAATAAAAAATATAATTCTTTAGGGGAGAATGGTGGCCTAGTGGTTCTGAGTTCAAGCCCCACTCCCACAGGCTGCCACTCTGGGTCCCTGAGCAAAAGACCCTTAACCTCACACCGCTCCCTCGGGCGCCACACAATGGCACCCCACTGCTCCCCAAGAGGATGGGTTAAATGCAGAGAGTTCATTTCAATGCTCTGTATTTTATGAAGATAGATTTGTTTCTTTATTCTTCAATCAAAAAAAGGTTGCTTCAATCAAAAAATATATTTTTAATTAAAAAAATCTTCACTACAATGAAAAAAAAAACTTTCCAATCAAAGAAAAAAAGTATTTGAATGCAAAAATATATTTGAGTCAAAAAAAAAATACATTTGAACACTGCTTTTCTTTGATTGAAAGAAGTGCAGTTCTTTTTTATTTAAAGCAACTTTTTTAATTGAAGTAACATTGTTTATTGATTGGACCATATAATGGGTAGGACATTTGTGTCTTTATTATTGAATTCCCAAAAAGTTGTTTCAATAAAAATAATTATTATTTTTTTTTAAGTGAAAAAAAAATTGAAGTTCAAATTGCTTTATTTGAATGACATTTTTTTTTTAAGTGCAAAAAGTTTTGAAGTTCAAATGTTTTTGATTGTATAATTTTGATGTTCCGCAGTGGGCGGGTGACAACAAAAGTTGGAAAAAGAAAAACATAAAATAAAATAGGTTGTTTATTCTACTAGATAATAGTATGTTTAATACATGTTCAAAGGATGCTATTTTCAAAATGTTCCTTTAAACTGACAAATGAACATAATTGGATTGTAGATCCAATTTAAAAAACGGGACTACTGAACATCTAAAAATAATTTTAAAAAGTTTTAATGAGAATTGTTATTGGAAAAAGGTATTCAATTGAAAAGCTGTAATTTTCAGATCATGGAAAAGACATTGAAAACTGTGTTTTATTTTTTAACGTCTATTATTGGACTAAATTGGGACAAAATCAGACCGAACAAACACAGCCTGATTTTCCACAACTATTTCTGAACTAAATCAAGACTACACCATGCACTATATCCCATGCACCTTTTTCTTCCTTTGGCACCTTCTGCTTCTCCTTTGACTATTTGAGCTAATGTAAGTAGTACATTTCTCCACTGTGAGATCAATAAAGTAAATCAATCAATCAATCAATCAAATAAACTACGATGGACCGACCAGATTCAGCCTTAAAACCAACGTCTAAATGACATCTGGTGTTTGGGGGAATTTTACTACCTGTAAATCTGTGTGTTCATATACACCACACAAACAAAGCTTTCAAAATTCAAAAATTTTTGTGAAATATGTCTTTTTTTACCGTCTTTTCAATTGTGAGGGTAGCCCATTTCATCCTGCCAAGAACAACATCTTGCCAGCGGGTGGCACTTGGTACAGTTACAATTGTAATGTTCCTGCCTTTTCCCAACTCAACCTGAAAAATCAAAGAAAGAAAGCAAATGAATTTCAAATTACATCCCAACGCATTCAAAGATGGCTAAATTGTGCAATAAACATCACCCATGAAATTATATTTAAGACCTAAATACAAGAATATCTTTTAAAAACCTTAGAAAGCATTGACACACCTATTCTATGCAAACATTCATTGACCCAAAAGTATGAAGACCAGTCAGACAAAAGCTTGTCAGTGTACTTTAATGTGAAATAATTCTCTCATTTATTAGAGCCAAACAAGCAATAAAAAGAAACCATCTTAAAAAAGGTTTGCATTGCTGCATTGGCACATTCATATAAGCATATTTTTTACTATATGGCATGCCAAAAAGACTTTAAAATGAAAGCAAAAAGAAAACAAGCACCTGGTGAGAATCTGACACAGTTTAAACTTTGTCACTGGTTTTTAGGGATAATCAATTCATCTTTTAAATAAACAATGTGTACTGCAGCTCAGGTTCAGGAGAGGTTGTTTTTTTCCCCCTTTTTGGACCTCATCCAATCACAAGCTTAAGTCAGTCACAAATATGAAATCTGCACAGTCAAAATTAACATTACATTAAAAAGTATCATTATTCATTATTTTTATTTTTTTTTAACATTTTCTTAGCTTGTAAGAAGTAGGAGTGGTCCTTTTGATATTACTATTTATTTAATAGTGGGTCTTCCTCATACTTTTATGGTTAGCTTTTACTTCCCCTTTAAAAGTCACACAAAAGTTATGTTTCAGCCCACCAGAAACTTATTTGCAGAAGTCATCTCAGTTTATTTATACACACTCACATTTTCCGCTGCTTACCAGATGGTTGGTATCATACATTAATCTGGGGTTTGTCCCACAGACAACCTGCTTCTCTTACCGTTTTATCTTTTCTTAATTTCTAAAGTGTGCATCATGACAAGAAGCTCATTTTATGGGTGCAGTGTGATGGCTGCTCATGGTTGTATACTTAGGGTTTGGTCAACCGTCATCACAATTGAGATAAACTTTGAGTGCAAACTATTTTTTGAAGGCCCATCAGGATATGAACTACACCAAGTTGCTTTTCCATACAAATTATGGACAAAATAAAACAGAATTTATGAGTACTGTCTGTCTTGTTAAAAATATTTTGTTCAAAGAACTTCATTAAAAAGCAAAAAAAGGGGATATTGTCCATGCTGTTCATAGAGGTTTATTTCTCACAGCTATAGAATAAGAAAATGTTATTATTTCATCAGACCGAAACAGGAAATGGGAAAGAGTGCTGACTTGTCAGTTTTGCAGCAAAAAACTCAAAAGGGGGGGTTGAATTCAAAATTCTAATTAAAAAGACGACTGGTGCTTCACGAGTGCTGTAAGCACAAGAAAAGGGAACACGCCACAGAGTTGACAACAGCTTTCAGAGGATTTTGAAGGAAAGCCCATTTAACAGTTTGTGAAAGTTAGACAAAGAGTTAACTGTAGCTTGAAATATTCCAAGAGGATGTATCCTGACCATGGGCTACTAGTATAAAATTTGATATTAGACTAACCAAAATGCATCTAAAGGTTAGTTTTTCCCTGAATAAGTCTGTAGAAAGTACATTTTTTGTTTAAAATTATAGAAATTACAACTTCTAAAAATGAAGGTAATAAAACTGAGAGATTTCCCTTCCTGATGCTGACACTTTCCAAAAGCTGTGAAAATTAAATCTGGCATTGAAAACGCTTTTTGAGATATTAAGGAAAAAGATTATCAAGCCATCAGCACCTGGCCTTGGTTTATCAAGCATCTACTAACAGGGAAATAGGGGTATGGGGATATACATAACTATGTCAGATTTTATATGGCAGAGACTTTATTTTATTGTATTATGTTTTTTGTGATCAGGCTCACAGTGCTTTTCAAAAACCTTGTCCAACACTGAATGTATGATATAAGACTTTGAAATTTTCTTAAACTATTACGGTAACGAAATACATTTTTGAGATGTTTGAGAATCTTGCAAACTTTAAAATAAGGTAAAAGCGATGAGCCTGTTTTGCTAATTTGCTAACTTAAGGCAAAAATTCAAGAATGAGGCCTCTGGACAAGTTGTCTGTTCAAGAATACCCATCCACTAGAGACTGACACGGGAGTGGATTTTCACTCCTGTCCCGTCCCACTCCCACAGAAAAAAATGGTGTCCCGTCCCGATCCCGGGCCAGAGTAGAAATCTAAATCCTGTCCTGTCCCACTCCTGGTGAAATTACTCCCACTCCCATCCCGCTCCCATTCAGAATGACTCCCGCTCCCGCACCACTCCCATTCTTGTTGTTTTTGAGCGAGGGTGAAAAACTCGGAGCGGAAGTTACTATTGGTTTGCTCCCGCTCCCGCTCCCGTCTGCTCCCGTTAATGTTTAATCCTGTACCGTCCCAATCCCGTGATCGTTACTAATACTGACTCCCATCCCACGGGAACGAAAAAATGTCAGTCTCTACCATCCACTGTCATAAAAAAATGCACAGTAAAACCAAAACTTTTTATAATCATCCCCATCAAACATATGTAGTTGAAATTCACTTACAAGGATTTTCCCTATTTCTAAACAAACTGCATTTATTTCCCTGGTTATTCAAGCAGCCAGATTTTCTCTTTGCTTTGAATCTTTAGCTTAATTTCTCAACTAGTTTTTTTTTTTTTTACATATCCCCTCAAAAAAAGAAAAAAAAAAGAAGTTATCCTTCCTATCTGCTTGTGCCAACTCCGTTTTCTCTGTAATCACATGCCTCATTGTTTAAAGGTAGTCTTTCTTGAAAGGGCTGCCATAAGTAATCTGATCACCGATTTAAATCCTTGTCCTGTATTTTACCTTTGTATGAACTTTGTCATCTCCAGTTTCCTTTGAAATATTTAAAAGAAAGACCGGTTTGCTCAATGTTTTTTGAGGTCATGGTTACACAGAAAAATCATGGAAGCAATCCAAGCTTCTTTTTCTTTCATTGTACCAGTTCATCTTACAAAGAAGCACATTGGATGATTTTTTTTTTCACCATGAATACAAAAATTAAGCAGATTGTATTGAGTTGACACATTCCTAACATAGACTAAAAATAAACTTAAAAATAGAAAAGAGATTATAGAAGAAACCATTGGTTAACATATGTAATTAAGTGGAAGGTGGAAATAACCTTTTACCTTATATCATCCTCAGTATTTACCATTTAATATAAGTTAGTACTCATGGGTTAAACAATAGGTATAGTTTGAGAAATATCCTTAAACCTGTTCAGAACATTAATCCTCAAATCCTTAAGACAGACACAACATTTTTTTTTTTTTCTTTTAACAAAACAGCTGTGATACACTCATTTTAAAAAATATTTAGAAATGCCATATATTTTCTAAGACACAAACAAAGAAATAGGGGAGAATAAACTAAGTTTAAAATACTTTTAAATAAAACAGAAGAAAAAAAATTAGAACAAAATAATAACTTCCTTTATTAGAGTTCCACTATAACAGAACATATTAATTAATATTAATGCTCAACAATTAGTTGTTGGTCGAAGATAGATTTTTGTATTCATTGTAAATTTTCATAAGAAATATTTGTAATTTAAAATTTCCTTCAGTTTTGTTCAAGCATCTCTCTTTCAGTGTAGAAAATAACCAGTACAGTACTAGACATGCAACTAAAGGTAATTTCACTTCACCGATAGTGAGAACAAATGCCATAAAAGATACTGTTGTGTTTAGAGATATGAAAGAATGGAATAATCTGCCAAAACATTTCCTGTTTGCTTATAATGTCAATAAATTTAAAGTATATGTAAAATTGCATCAATCAAAATAATATAACTGAATGTTATATTTATTTATATTTGTGTGCGAATATGTATGCATATGTGTAGGTATGTTTACAGGTGTAAGTGTAGAATGTGTTTTTTATATTTGCTTATATTTTATGCCCCCATGAAGGTACATATGTATGTTGATATATGTATATATTGTATATGTATTTGTATATGTGTTTGTGTATTTTTTTCTCCTTTCATTTATTTGTTGTATTTTTTTTTTCTTTTTAATGTATATATTTTTCAGGACCCGAGGAAGAATAGCTGCAGCATAGCTGTAGCTAATGGGGATCCTTCCAATAAAAACTCAAAAAAACAACACATAGTTAAATTGAAGATTATTTTACTATCAGATCATTAGAAACATAATCTTTCCCTGGAAATCAAAGTTGTTCCGAATTGCCTTCCACTTTATAGGGGTTGAGCGTCGACCTTCTCCTACCAAAGCCAAAATAATAATACTGGATGCCCAAAGTTACAGTTCAGCACAACAAGAAAATGAGGAACAAAAGCTCCACTTGCCCTGTTGGTTTCCCAAATGCACAGAGCTCCTACACGTACCCAGATAGAGCTCCCCATCTTACCAATCCACACATGCATAGCAGTATAAACAGTCTAAATGGCTCTAAACTTAACTACACATTTTCATAATTTTTTGTAACAAAAAAAGCCAAGCATGCATCTCAGACAATATGGAAGAAATACTGCTGTTACTGTTTTTTTCAAATATTGTGTGAATACAGATATACCTTTATTTTTCTAAGAGGTGTAATGTGAAATTTGGGACTCTCTGAAACAATATGATATGAAGAATTTGAAAACCATCATATTTTTTAGACCCAGCATCAACACAGTTTTTTATGTGTTTAAAGTAAACTTTGGTCAGACAGAATGGACAGAAGCTCAGATAATTTTTTTTTCATATCACAAGAAAATTTTTATTATCTTGAACAACCTGTTTTCTTTAATTCACTATAATTTAATATCTATTCAAACCCAAGCCTTTATAGTGAACTGGTACAACAAGTCCGGTTGAGCTAAGCACCAGAGGTTCAGGATCTTGAAGGAAAAGTCCGGTCACATTCAGAAGTCCGACTTCTGAAAGTACTTTAAACAGGAAATTATACTGTTCAATAAATGATAAGTGTTTTAATTTAGAGTATTTTTCATTTGAATGTGCTTACCGGAGACATCCATGTTTGCCTGAACTGAACCGTGCTGAGCCCTACTGTTGAACTAGTACCAGTTTACTGCGGTTTTGTTGTGTCTGACACGGCGTCTGTCATGCATTTACACACAACAGTTATCTCGGTTACTGTGCTCAAACCGGTCTTGGCTTGGTTTCAAAAGGGTAGTGTAAATGGGGCTTATGGTTGATGGCATCAAGGCCCATCATGCAGTGTGTCTCGAGCAGCAGCAGCAGCGCATCTTGATGAAGCTGCTGCTGCATCAAGATGCAGCAAAAAAAATCAGATGTTCATGAAGTTTTTAAAGATTATTCTCATTATGGCAGTAAAGCTTGACAAAGAATAAATATACAGGCAAAAATAATTATAAAACACTCACCTTAGGGACTTCATTTGCTCTGTCCGTATGGATGTAGTAAGTGACTCTGAAGCCAACAAGAAAGTACTTTTCTCCAGTCTCAATGAATTTCTTCAAAAAACGAGTGTATCTGATTGGTGAAAATAAACATTAAAGGCCTTCAATTAGTAAGACAAGACCATAAATATAGTAAATAAAAGGCATAAATGAGACTGATATCAACAAGCTGGTGAAACCTCTGTTCATTGATATCTTAAAAGGATTTTCTGTTTACATACTTGCCAACAGCAAAAACCACAACAGCTACTCTTGGGTCCATTTTCTTATAGATGTCATCTATAACCAAAGGATCAAAAGTCCCCTCCCAGACCAAAGGAACATTCCAGTTTGTCAGAGAGTTAACATCTGTCCGTCTTTGGAAAAAGTGTAAAGACCAAAAAAACTAAATAAAAATGATCACAAGCCAGTTTCACATTATTGCAAATTCTCTGTAAATAAGTCATAGATATCTAAGATGCTTTTTAGGCAGAAAACTTTACTTCTTTATTAGATTTCTTTCTTAAGGTTCTAATGACTGACAAAAATGTAATGCTTCTAAGCAAGGGGCTTCTATCTTTAGCTTAGCTATTCTCTAAGAATTTTCTAAGAATGTATCATTGATACACTAAGAAGTCTAAAAGTTTTCCTTCCTTTTTAATTTGTTGAAATAAAGAAAAAAAGATGCATAGAATCATGTGTGGTGATAGCTTACCCGGTCTGTGTGCTTGGCTGAGCATATTTTAGTCTGGGAAAGTAAAGGACAAATTCATTTCAGCTCTTTATTTTGAAACGCATAAGACACTGTTAAAGTTACGCATGCAAGACGTCCATGTTCAATCCCAGTAATTTTAAAATTTACCTCTTTATAAGGCATACAAGCCTTAGTTCTTAAAGGACGAAATTTAACAACGGAATGAACGATAAGTAATTAATGTGGCATAAATGCTGGACATTTAAACATTAATGACACTTTAGGTAAAACTGTGCAACATTAGGTAAGTGGTGATTTTAGATTTTTAGAGGAATCAGCTAAAGCACTGGTTATACTCCCCGCAGCAGTGAGCTTGTCACAGATATTTTTGATTTAAGCCCAATATTGAAGAGTGGTCTGTGCCAAGTTATTCCACGCCACAACGCAAAAGGGACAATCACAAACTACCTGTGGGTACCTGTGCTGAGGCGTTGAGGAAGTGGGGGCAAGTTTGTGTGACAATGGAGGGACATGAGGGTGAAAAAGAGTGGGGATCCAGGTGGGAAAAGGGTCCTAGCATTATCACGCAGCCCGCTCTTCTAGCTGGTCCAACTTCACGAGTCGTTTTCCACAATTGCGGTTATACAAACAAAACAAGCCAATAAGGCACCAAATAGGAAATACGCGTAATGTAGAACGGATGTAGATCTGACCAATCAGAGGCCTCCTGTCTGCAGCACTATCTATGGTCACCTACAATTTTAAAGAGGTGCACCAGAGTATCTGCGGCAGGGGCGGGGCCACATTTGCATTCACTGCAACAAACATGCAGATGACCTGGTTTCTGAGAATAAATCAGCCTCGAGCGTAGGTGTCGCAGTGAACAAAAAGATGTCCCCGCCCCCGGCGCAGACAATCTGCTGCACCTCTCCCAAATTGTAGCTGACCGCACACAGTGCCGCAGACAGGACTTCCACTTCCTCACCCCCTCAGCCGTATCTAGACCCACAGGGCCGGATTTATCAAGATCCAAATTTGCGTGCAGTAATTTGCGCTCGCAAACTGGAATTTTGCGCGAGGGGCTGAACCATGGTTTGCGGGTGATTTAACAAGAGTGATTGCGTAACTGGTGGCAGGTGCAAAACTGTTGGAGACGCCCTATTTAAATGATGGTTTTGCGCGTTTTGTGGTTTGCGGCAAAGTAGTTTGTGCAAACTAGTGCATTAAGAAATTTTAATCTTACAGTGACACCCCCATATATATATATATATATATGTATATATATAAACTTTGGCAACCTTTATTCCCTAAGGTGGTATGTGGCTGAATTTCTACTTCACTGCAGTAATAAAAAACACACACACAAAAAAACAGGTGTTTTGTATTGGCCTGTAGAAAAATGCACATACCAAATGGCTCACAAGAAGTGACTGTGGATAAGATGACTGTGCCTACGCATCCCCGCAGCATTGGCATGTTGCTCCACAGGCGCAAGGAGGAGTTCGGGGTTCTCCGTTAGGGCGTCAGGGCGACATGGCATTTAGAACGTCGGACAGCACTTCGGACAGCACTTCTGAAAAACTAGATTGGGAGATCCCAGCTCTCGCTGCAACCGTACGCTGGAATGACCCAGATGCAAAAAAGTGCAATGTTGCAAAGAGTTTTGTGATATCTGGTAGGCCTATTGCGTGGGTCCTCCTTGTGGCTGGCTCCAAATCCATTCGGAGTTCCCCCAACAGCTCCAAAATGGCAATGCTGGATAAACGATATGTTTTGATGATCGTTTCCTCGTTCATGGCAAAAATATTCACACGGAGTGAAAAAATGCGTTCTCTGCGTCTCCTTGCTTCATTTCGATGTCTCCTTCTTGCGACAATAACCGCTGCCATGTGTGCGCAATTACGCATACAGACCATTTGCACCTTCTTTTGAAACGTGTTAAATATAGAGTCAGATACCGTTAGCAAAATTGCTTTCAGGTTTGATAAATCACTTTGCGAGTGCTAAATTAATATATTTACATGTTCTCCTCCCACAAGACGCACTTTTGCGTGTAAACGCCCCATATTGCATATTCATTGCAGAAAAAGTAGGCCTACTAAATGGATAAGAGGCGCTATTTAGCACGTTTTAAAGACCAAATCCTTTTAGCACGCTGTTGATAGATCAGTTTGTACATTTTTTAGCGTACGCAGTGAAATAGCTCACGTTTTTATACACGCAAACCTTTGATAGATCCGGCCCACAGTGTATAGCGCAGACCACGCTTCAATACTGGGCATAAATAAAAAATGTCTGGCTCAAGCTCACTGCGACACACTGCTGCAAGAGTATAACCAGCCCTTTGGCTGAGTAACAAAACCATGGTTTAGAGACTGATTAGGAATACTCTCCTGTCTAGGGCCTGCTAGAACGTCCTTATCTGTAAATAATGCTGCCATCTTCCATCTCGATTCAGACCAATTTAACTCAATCAATTTGGGCTTTTTCTGCCTAATCTGTTGGATCATCAGTTTAATGAAATCGTTTCCATCATTCCAAGGGTTGAACCCACTGCAAGTGGCTCATTTGACATTTCTTCCTGTTTAGATGACATTTTCTTTTCCAAAGTCAAAATCAAACTTTTGAAAAACAATAAGAAGGCAACTAGGGAAACATAATAATACCCTAAATAAATTAAAATAAATTACCTCAGGGGCAGTATTTTTGCGTGATAGTATTTCAAAGGAGCTCTACCTTGAAAATATTTGAATATATAATAATATAACATCAACTTTGGGAGAAGCTTTAATACCAGAAGCTCTCAGAGACATAAACTGTAATATGTCTCCATCCTACTTATTGTTTAACAGACGCCATAAAGCTGTAAAAGACACTAACAAGGACAAAAAGCTGCAGCCTTGTAAAGTAGAACCTAATACTAAACACTGGGGCACTAGAAGTGCTGCTGGTGCAGATTTCCATGAGTTTTCTGAAACTTATTCACTCTGAGTATTTTTCATCTTTGGTAATCACTCCTTTTATTTGTTGTGAAAGAATTCCCAAACCTCTAACTCATTTTCCAAACTATGGGTTCAATTTAAAACACTTAAAGCTATTATATTACACAACATCCCTCAGCTTCATGCTCAGGTATAAAAAGCAGCAGTAAGACTAAGAGTCCCATTTTTCTTTTTCTCTTGGTTGGGGCAGCCTGTCTGAAATAAAGGCAAATGGGCGGATGTACTTTCCAGCATGATAACGACATCCTCTCAGGACCAAACTTTCCTGGTGTTTATTTTTAGCCAAACCATGACGATCTTGTTTTGGTCCTTTAGCATGAACACATGAGTTTACTGATGGAAAATGCCATGCACCTCTGAGGCTTAAGAATTTCCTTTATATAATTAATTTTAATTTTTCTTATTTCTATGAGAAGAATGTTTTCATATAATTCTACACATCAGAGTTCTGATTTTTCCTGTTAACTTCAATTTATTTTCTTTTCTTGTAAAATTGTTTTAAAAAACAAACTAACATAATTGTTATAAAAAAAACTCAACCACAATTATACTTGTGAATATTTTGAAATAAACATACATACTGTATGTATTTCAAGATAATCTATTTTAGTATTTATTTAATCTGTGTGTGAAAGTCGTTAAATTGAGGTGGGGGTTACAATTATCTTTGTAATCCCTAAACTTTACATTTTCCTCAGTAAAACAGGCAACAGAATTATAGTTTGGACTGAACATTTGATTTAGGCTTATCTACAGTTAAAAAACAAAACTATAAACAATTCGGTCTTGATACAAGTATGACATACTTTTTTTTATGTTTAGAATTTATAATAATAAATGCTACTTTATTATCAAGGTATAAGCCTAGACACAGAGCCAATAAATGTTTTATACTGTTTGTCTGGTTTCCAGCACATTTTTAAAGGCATCTTAAATTGTTTTATTGCTTTACAATAGTGCTTTACAACAGACGAAACCAATAACATTTGGTACTAAAAGAACTGAAAAACATTAGTAAACAACAAAAATTTGCTTCTCACCCAGAATCCATTATCAGCTCTCCAATCTTCCAGCTGTCAACCTTGCAATGTTCATTGTTTTTCTTTTCCATATTGTCTAATTCCTTTTCCAATTCCTCAAAATCCTTTAGAGCAATAGCATCATGCCTGCATGAGCTATAAAGGAAAACCCCAAAACATTCCTAAATATCACGACAAGATAAACGGAATAATACAAATAATGAAGTGTCATAACAATTGTTTTTATTTTTAACTCACTTGAGGTCAGTGAAGACATCTCTGAAGTAAATATAGAGCGACCTGTAGAGACAGAAACCCGAATCATGTTAATAATGCAACATATTGAGCAATATAGAGAAACATATATATATTTAGAGACCACCTTTGCTTTTTTGTTGCATTCATTGTTTTCCTGAAGCAACATACCTTTAGAACAATAAACTCAGTAAAAACTGTGGTCTAATATGTTTTTCTTTTACTGTCTCAAGCTCAATATACATCCAACCCATTTTCAATCTGTCCATTTTTATTACCTTGTAAAAAAAATAGGCCTGACTGATCACTTGAGTTTGGTTTTAGCAATTTTCAAAAATAACAGCAACAAAATCTCAGAAAAAACAACCACTCTATCATAAAATTTAAAAATGGCTAATTATTATCTGAAATTTTATTTTAGTTCTTTTAGTTTTCTTGGCGCTGATCACCAAATCTCACATTTTCATCAGCATTTCAAGTAAGAAAACTCACTTAGACTTTATATTTCATACTATGACTGCATGCCAACATGATCACAGCTTCATTTTCCTTTTTTTTTTTTTTTACAAACATACCCTGTTAGTCTTCAACTAACAGTTCATGCTGTAGAACACATCAAGGAGTTGGACATGAACATTTAGGCTTTAGATAACCGCCCAGAAAGTCTTTCGCCCCCCAGCAATCCTTGAGAACCACAAAAATCCATCTGTCTTATATTGTCATCAATACGGATGGATCTCTCTACTCACCCTACAGTTACTCTAATAAATAAAAGCATTCCGGGCGAACAGACCATGGCTTAAATATGTTCTTAAATATTCTACCATCATCCTATATGCATATTCATTAAGCCAAGCTTTTTTTTAGCCCTCTGGAGATTCCTAGGATGGTTAAAGTTTCTTTTCACTGGATTTGTTATCACCCATACTCAACTAACACGAATCTGGGGCTTAACAACTGACATTTCATTGTTCAATCTGGAATAACGCTACTTTGAAGAAAGAAAATACTAAGGAAAAGAAACTCAATACTTAATATCCAATGTAATGCATGTAAACATTTAAGAACTTCATTAAATCTGTTTGCCACTGTATTAATTGGTAATTGAAAATACTTAACATCTAAGGAACACAAGAGGAAATTACAGAAGCATACTACTGTCACTTGAGAAAATACATTTTTGCTCATTTTATTGTATAAACGTGATAATTATGTTGTATAAACATGACAATTATTTTGTATAAATGTGATACAATAAAATGATCATATTTATACAATATACTATCACGTTTATGCAATATAATTATCACATTTATACAATATAATGAGCAGAAATGTATTTTCTCAAGTGATACCAATATGCTTCGTAGGAAATAGATACTAACTAGAAATACTGATATATTGACTACCTATACAATGAGGTAATGTTTCACTAATGCCAACATATAGGACCAAATTTGTAATACCAATAATCACCAAATAACTGTTATATTAGTTTAACTCTGATCTAGTTTAGCGTTGATCCGTTGCTGCTTAGTTATGAGGCACTGAGCGGCTAACGGTATAATGGTTGATCATGTGTAAAATAATTATCCCAAAAATCTTGTTGTCCAAATTTGTTCCAGCCAGATCAACCATTTATGAACAGGGTTTACAATGACTCCGCCACAGCACTCAAAAACTTGTATGCCCTTCAGGATTCAACACCTGTCAAATACCTTTCAGCTCTGACAGCCCCATCTAGTGACCAAAAGAAAAACAAACAAACAAAAATACACATACCGGTATTTGGCTCCAATGACACTATAGTATTAAAAATGCTATGTTTGCCTTCACCAACATGCAGATTGTATACTACCATATATTATATACAAACTGTTAAGTTCATGTTGGAGGATATGCAAATGTTAACATGTGCAAAAGGATATTTCAAATCTGAAACTCAACTGCATCAGCAGGTTTTGTGTATGTTTTAGTACTTATGAAAGTCAGGTGCAAACTAACACACAAAAATATTCGACTTTTGTTGCCATAAAGGAGGCATTGATATAAAGCAAGAAGGTGTAGAGAAATTCTGTGTGCATGTAATCATATCTGAAATGATATTAAAATAGTAGGTCCCATATTATGCAATATTACAATTATAAATGTTTTGTAACAGTCATATGTGTCCGAAAGCCTGTATATGTGGTTAACAGATGAAAAAAAACAAACTCTTTAACTCTTTGCCTTCACCACTCAGCTATGGTGTGGTCAAAATGGCCTTCATCTAATGTATTATTCCACACTCTTAGTGTGTGGGTGGTTAAAGTGTTTATCCATCTCCTACTTCTCCGTTTGTTTTTTTGTTTTTCTTTACTTTTCCCCTGTTTTAAGACATGGTAAGCTTTGGAAGTGGATCAATAGACAAAGACAACTTTCTAATGTTTTATGATATGTTATTTTTTCATACTTAATCTAGATTATTTTTATCACTTTAAATTTTTGTTTTGTTTGTAGCATTTAGAGATGGAAAAACTATCTTTATTTTCTCAAATATATATTTTCTTTATTACCTCCAACTCTATGGCTTAGAATGTCATCTTTCCTTATGACCAATCTCAACTGTCTATAGAACATGCAATCTACTAATTTTAATGTGCACAAACAAATGACTTTACCAGGTATTGTTACCTGGGGGTTGTCTTCTATTTCAATTTAAAAGTGAGGCTCATCTTAAGTACTTACAGCAGCAGAAATGAATCCAACAGGTGGATTTATGTGAACTTTTGTTTTATTTCCTATTTATTAATTATTAATCCATTCACTGCCTAATTCTTTCTTTTTTCACATCTGTCTATAGATTTTTTACTCAATATAAAAATAAAACTATAACAAAATCACAAAATAAAACCTTTCCCAGTTGTTGAAAAGAATAAATTTAAGCTCACTTAACTTTGAAAGTTGTGATTTTGAGGTTTATTAAGTTTAACTGTCGTTTAAGTTTACAAGAGTTTGTGTGTGAAACATGTAACAATAATCTCCCATACTCTCTATATATATCTACATTAGGGTTGTCACGGTACTAAACTTTTCAACTCGATACCGATACTAAGGCAAATATTCAATACTCGATACAATTTTCGATACCACGAGGATAAAAACAAAGACTCCAAAATTCAACAGAAATATTTTCACTAATAAATAAAATACAACAAATAAATACAATAAACAATAAGAACAATGTTTTGAGGTTGTATGATGTGCACAATATTAAGCAAGCTTGATAAAAAACTTATAAAATTTAAATCAAGTGTTCCTTCCTTGGCTATGTTTTGCAGACATAACAATGACACTAGCCAAACCGGTTGAGAAACAAAAATAATTCTCAGCAGCTGCACCTCTTACAAAAAAAACTCTGAAACTGAAAAGTGCACAGAATTATTCAATCACACAGTGTTTTGAAAGTGCATTGTCCTCTATTCTGCACTTTAAATGAATGACTGCTTAGGTGCCACTGGTGGTAGCACTGTATCGATACTTTTAAAAATGAGTATTGTATCCGGATACAATGTTTCAGTATCGATACTTTTTTGAGTATCGATACTTTTGACAACCCTAATCTACATTAAGGGATAATATTTTGAAACGGAAGCCTTTTTCTCCAAACAATACCTCCAGGCCATCAAAAATCTTCCAAAATCTGGTGGAGGAATATCTCCCATAATTTAACACGGCAACGGTAAATATGGTGTTGGTAGTGAAATAATGGGGGGTTGATTTTCCTCAGATGGAACTTTCATACTGCCTAAACAAAGGCCTTTCACTAAACAAACGTGATGTGAGAAGAATATAACACTAGAAGTATGAGCCTTTCTGCCCAAAAGCACTTCACATTTAATATTTTTTGACTTCCTTTTAAAGCAAGCTGGGCTCTGCTGCAAGCTGGTTCCAGAATGAGAGAAGATGTGTGGGTGTGTGTGTGAATGTGTCTGTTCTCCTCTAGAACAATAGTAAAGCTAACATGCTACACTAATTGTTGCACTGCACATTTTTCGTTAAGGGGAAGTGTTATCTTTTATTTCGGTAACTGGCAAAACCCTTAACAGAACAGGGTGGTGGGTTGTGTGAATGTGTGGGTGTGTTGTACTTGTTTATGTTATCCAATTGGGACCGTTTTTTGGTATATTTATCAACTTTCTGAGGACCAACAGGCCTTGTGGGGACTAAAGACTTGTCATAATGTGGTGAACCCCACGGTGGTGAAACTGCGGTAATTCTCTTCCTGGACAGTTTCTGAGCAGGAAGTCTTGGAGTGTAAATCTGTCAGAGCAGAGACAAAATTAATGTGCTGTCTGTAAGGACAAGTAAACCAAAGCTGTGCCTGCAGCTTGAGGTGTATTCCTCAGGTAAAAGTTGTGGTACTGTTTCTTCATGAAAATGAAAGATAAGCTGCTTGACCCATGGAGATAAAAAAAAAAAAGATTCACAGGCTTAATATCTTTCCATCCCTACCTGAAGCACAAGGCATTTTATTGCCTAGTTACTTTACTGGAGCAGCAAATAAACAGAAGGTACCCAGTGGGGATTTGGTGAACGCTGGGGGTAATAACAGAAAACCTTAAATAGGCTGTTAATTATTGCACTTCACATCAGAGGAAATCATATAAATTATAAATATTACAAAACAAATTTTAGTTAACCAGAGCTTAAGTCTTGACCGGTCTTGCCCTACAATTCTAAGACTTTAATGTTCCAGACCGAGACAAGACCAGGTATGCAGTGGAGTCCGAGACATGACCGGGTCTCTCAAAAAGTGGTATCTCAACCATGACTGGTTTTGATTACTCAAAATTGGCTTTCCAGAGCTTCGGGACAAAATCCACACTTGCACGCTTGTAAATCTGCACTAAGAAAATGAATAATTAAAACAAAAACA